CCATGTAGATGTACCAGTAGCTCCATTAAGGAATAAACACTGGGTGCGGCTAGTCAGCCCCCTGAGGACCCACCACTTGATTCTCTATTCCAGGATTTTCCCAGGAATTGATGTCAAGCTCTTTTTCCAGTTCTCTGAGAGCTCCCCTTGGCTGCAGGAGCATTCAGAAATTATATTTGGTGACCCCAAAATTAGGTCTGCCAGCTCCTTTGGATGCCTGGGAGGCAAACCATCTGGTCGGCGTGATTTCTACCCATCCAGAGTGGATTGGTCCTCTTTGACTAATTTCGTGCCTATTTGGAATTGTACATAGATTCTATCTCCCTCGGTGTTGCTGTTGATAGGCTGTTTTTTTTTCTTTTGCTGAAAAAGAGATGGAAAGGAGTTAAGCATTTCTGAATTCACCCTGCTGCCTGTCTCCTTCCTGCCTTCTGCTCTCATTAGTGGACCTATTGACTTTCTTGACTTTCTTCTTGTTCCTTACGTAAAATTTTCCTTTATTATTTTTGGCCTTTGTTGCCAGTCTTTGCCCATTCCAGGCCTTTGCTATTCCGAGTCCGTCCTTGCAAATTCAGTCTACTCGCTGGTATTCTGCTTTACTTATGTGCCCCTCTTTCCATTTTTTTTCTACATGGCCAAATTGTCCCTCTTCTTCTCAGAGGGCTCTTTGAGCAACCATGCTGGTATCGCATGATATCTTTAATTTTTCCGTGTCGTATTGTTTTTGCTCAGTCCTTCATCGTTTCATTTTCCCGGTTTTTTTTTACTCAAAATGGACATATATAATACGTTACAGGTGTAGAGTTTAGCTATCTATTAGGGCTTGTTAAGGCACTTGAGCTATGTTTTAACCAAACAAGCTTTTTAAAAAGTGGAGACATATAATTAAGGAGAGATATATCGGCATATATAGGGGGGGGTTAGGATTTTTTTTTCATTTCATACTTTACATATGATACATGCAGTAGACATATATAATGCATTACAAAAATAGTATAGTTATTGAAGATTTGTTTTAGTCTTTTATTTAAAGTGGACATATGCATTGAAAATAGAGTGTAGGAATATATTAGGGCGTTTTTGGTAACTCGAGGTTTGTTCTAAATAAATGTATTTCTCAAACTGTGAACATATAGGGTGCAGGAGAAAAGTGGGGCGTTGGGGCTTTTTTAGTTACTGGAGGTGTGTTGTAGCAGAATGCTTTTTTAACGTTGGCATATATAATGCAGGCGAGCAATAGAGTACTTACAGCTGGATGTTAGGTCGTCCTTCTCTTGCTCCCCCCGAGAGGCTCTGGAGCAGCAGGAGCTTCTGCCTGCCCCCGAGACCCTCTACCCAGCCCCGTCCCCCAGTTCCGCCACCCGCTCCCTCCGCCTTGCTGCCTCGGCGCTCTTTGCTCCCCCGAGGCCTCTCCTGGGGACCCCTCGGCTCCCGGCCCAGCTCCTGGCTCCTCTCCTCTCTTCTCCTCTCCTGCCGGCTGTGGGCTCCCGACTGCTTGGCCCATTCGGGTGCTCGGTTCCGGTTCCAAGGTCCAGCGGTGGCCAGACTCGCCCGGCACACTAGGTAGCAAGTCCCCCACCCCCTTTCTCTCTGCCGCAGTCCCCCATCCTCTCCTGGATATGTAGTGAAACCTGATTGTGCGGCTGCCATCCTGATTTTTCTGACACCCCAGCACTTCCTGTGATGCCATTAATGGTCATTAAAGAATGCAAGTTTTCAAATGCAGAATTTTTTTTTCATTTTTTATTCATATTTTATTGATTTCATTTATATAAAACATCTTGTATTTATGGCTTATTTTTGGAAGCTGTGGGGGCAGGGTGTGTTTTGTGGGAGTAGGGGAAGGAAGGGCAATGAAAATGAGCATCCTTCCATGCGAGTCCATCTACCTCGAAGTGTAGCTAAAAAGACAGACGAGTCACTTGACTGTTCTCTCATCTAAGTCATTGATGAAGATATTGAAGAGTCCTGAGCCTAAGACGGAACATTGTGGTACCCCACTGCTTACTTCTCTCCATGTGATGTAGTGTAGTGAGAGAGAGAAAAAGAAAGAGGGGGGAGAGAGGGAGAGAAAGAGAGAGAAAAGAGAGGGAGAGAGGGAGGGAGAGAGAGAGAAAAAAAGGGGGAGAGGAGAGAGGGAGAAAGAGAGGGAGAGAGAGAAAGAGAGAGGGGGGAAAGAGGGAGAGGGAGAGGAAAGAGAGAGAGAGAGAGGAAAGAGGGAGAGGAAAGAGAAAGAGAGAGAGGAAACAGAGAAAGAGACAGAGAGAGAGAGAGAGAGAGAGAGAGAGAACTCATGCACAGCAGCCTCTATTTTATTTTTAATTAAACCCTTCAAACAAGCTCCGCCCCTCATGCTTGTGCACGTGCGCTTGCAAGTTTTGCTGCTCCCAGTGTTTTTTGGGGAAACGGGTCCAAGTGGCTCTTTGAGTGTTTAACGTTTCAGACCCCTGGCTTAGGCCATCATTTTGCAGGATTTCGAGGTATACTGAGAAAATGCCATTTTGGTTTTCAGAACATCAAAGAAGCAGCTAGGAAGATACGTATCTGCTGAATCAGGTTTGTCCTGTTGAAAGATAAATCATCAGATCCAGTCCAAGCTGGGAATAAATAAAATGGAGGCTGTTTGGAAAGAAGATTCTTGTTTATTTACTTACCCAAAACTTCAGTGACACAGCATGTTTCTGGGTGGCTGACAAAATGGAGCTGGGAATGGTGGGCTTTTATACCTTCTTTGGGCTTTGTATTTGAGGTTCTTCCTGTCCCTGTGCAATGTACTTACACCTGGCTTGAGTGTGCCCTTTTGGGGTTTTTTAAAGGTGGTGGGTTAATCCTATTATGTCCTAAAGGTCACGTTCCTGTCCTTCATCTCTTCATTTGGAGGCTCCTTTCAAGTAGGAAGGCCTGAATCCAGTCCGCAAATCCCACGGGAGCCCTCTTCTCCGTTCCATCATCCCGCAGCTGTGTTGATTGCAGTTCCAAGAACTCCCGTGGATGAGATGCCCATAGGTCAGAAGCATCCCCGATGATGTAATCAAAGCTCTGCTGAGAATCCTTGGAGTTGTAATTGAACCTGTCTGAAATTGCCAAGCTGAAGAAAGCCATCCCCAGGACAGATTCAAGACACCAGACCCCCTCCTGAAGATCAACACTGTGTTTGCACCCAGAAGCTCTTTCCCCTCTGTCCTTCTCCCACTTCCTATCTCTTTCCTCAATTCCCAGGAAAGAAGAAGAATCCGGTGCAATGAGTCATCCTGATTTGCGGCCTCCCACTTGTGGGCCTTCTCCTGCATTTGCTACTCTGGACAAGCAGGTAGCCACTCCCAAGAAACCTTCAACCTTCCACAAAATGTCAAAAATGAAGACGTGGCTCAAGATTTCTTAACATCCATCTTGAAATAGTCAGCTAACAATCACTGCCCCAAAGACAGGAATAGAGCAGTCCATGGAGTGTGGGCGATGGGGAGGTCCTGCCCTTCTGATCTGGCCAGCTTCTCAGCTCATGGTCCAGCCAGCTGGGCGCAGGGCCAATGGCTCACCGGTCTCTGACCGACGTGCCGGTTCCATCTGCCCATAGAAGGCAGGAAAGGAGTCACAAAAAGGGACAATTTTACAAAAGGATCATCATCGTCGTCGTCATCATTACCAAGAAAGCCAGACCAGCTTCAGTTCCCAGAGAGGCTCCAGGCCCCTCGCAAAGTCTGTTGCATGAGGAAGCTTTTTGACGAAGGAGCACAGACTTGGCCGACTCTTCCTTAGCGCTCTTGTGCCAAGGAAGCCCCTGGGAGTCATAGAGACCCCCAATCTTGCCCACCTCCCCCTCCCTGCCTCCCTCCCACCATCCACAGGGAGCTTGGATTCCCCAAAGTGACAACCTCCTTAGCGGAGCTGTTTTCACACCATTTGTCTGTTGTCTCAGCACAATTCTGGATTTCCAGAAAGCTGGCAAGGGGCTCCCGGGAATTAAAACCCACCAGCAAGAGCAAACGGAGTCCCACATCCAAAAGAAAGAACAGGGAATGTGGCTCCAGGTCTGCTCTGGGACGGAGCACAGAAAGCTCAGCTATTCTGCAGCGACACCACGGAGGGAGGACAGAAGTGCTGATGGAGCTGCAGAGAGTCAGCAACGTAAAATGAGACCTCTGTCGGCCGTTGAAAATGCTAGTGGCACTGAAAAAAGGGATTTATGACCAGTCCTCACAGTTACAACCATTGCAAAATTCCCAGTCACATGATCAAAAGGTGGGCACTTGGCAGCCAGCTTGTATTTGTCACGGTTGCAGTCTTTGGCTCATGTGATCTCAATCTGAAACTTTCCCAACTGGCTTCCAACAAACTAAGTCAATGGGAAAAGCCGGATTCCCTTAATGAAACGAACCCCAAACTCGGGATTCATTTCGCAACTGCAGCGATTTCCTTAACAACGGTAGCTCTGACTCACAGAAGGACCTGCTTGATTCGCCGAGGAACGGCGGGCTTGTATCATGGCCATAAGTCAAGGACTCCCTGCATCCCTCGGGTTCCCTAGGTGGATCCCTTGCAGTAGTGCAGTCGCTGTAAGTAACAGAGTGTCTCAGACATTGGCGGTCACTCTGCAGATCCCAGAGGAATTCAAGTAGGGCCGCCCTCCATGGGGGGAGATGAGCCCCCTGAATTGGGCGGCTGCACCCAGGCGGTTTTCCTGTGAGGGATACAGCTTGGCCACTTTCTCTCTCTCTCTCTCTTGTTTTATTTTTTATTACTTTAAGGCATAAAATGCAAAAAGACACAAGACAAGAGTAGGAAGAATTGGGGAGGAAAAAAGGGAGGGAAAAGGGGAAAAGAGAAAGAAAAGGCGTTAACTTCCAACTCCCTTTGCAAACTAACCCCGGCATTTCCTAGTGGTCTCCCATCCCTGCTTTAATCCAAGTCTGCTTAAGCTTTTCCAGATCAGTCCACTGCTACATCCTTAAGGCAGTCCTCGACTTACAGCCAGAATTGGAACCAGTATTGCCATTGCTAAGCTAGGTGGTCCTTAAGCGAGTTGTCCTCAGATTTACGGTGTTTTTGACATGATCGTTAAACGAATCACGGTAGTTGTTTAGTGAATCAGGCAGTCATTAAGCAAGTGCAGTTTTGCCCATTGCTGTCACTTGTCGTAACTCCAAGCCGATGTCCCTGCACCCAAGTCATGAGCGTGTGACCCTGGGGTTGCTGCTACAGTCATATGTGTGAGGACCCGTGATACATCACACTTTTCAGTGCCATTGGAACTTGGAACAGTCCCAAAAGCAAAGGCTATAAAATGAGGACTATTATGGGGTACTTGGTTAGGGACTGTACAACATTTAATCTTTTTGTTTCTTTAGCCACATTTTCATAACATCTTTTTAAGCTGAATAACATCTAATCCTTATGTGTATTTCCCTTTGACTCCAATTGACATGGACACAAAAACCTGGATTCTCTGGATCTCTAATGCTAGATTTCAGATGCAAGGGACAACGTTTTAATTTGGACTTTACCCCCAAAACAAGGGCCAACATCTGTGGCTTCCCAGCTCTCCAGACAATGGACAGTTGTCCATTCAGGTGAAAGGTCTGGTGGATGAGGATTCAGGGCTCACTTGCAAAAGCCCCTGAAGAGCCGGCCAATCCATGAATAAGCCAGGCCCTCCAGTGAAGGCAGCCAGTTGGTGATTATTTTTCAACTCTCAGCTTGGCTTGTGACATCAGGGGCTCCTCCTAACCTCATTGGCTGGAGATTGCCATGACAACCTCCAGCATCCTTGGTAGTTTGGACCACAGGGCTGGAAAGCTCTGTTCCAAATCCCTGGAAAGTGACTGGATTGGATGGCTGGCAGTGTGGGCACAGTGAGGACCTCCCTCATTTGGACGTGTCAGAAGGAAGAGACAGTTCCCGTTAAGGCAGAATTAGGGGGCAAGACTAGAAAAGTGGGGTTCAATCCTGGATCACAGTGGTGCTGATACCTGCCGTGTTAGCAGCCTCCGTACTTGTGGCCAAACTGCCAATCCACCATCTCAAAGGTACATGTCTCCAGAAAGGGGCTGGGACTGGCTGGCTGGGGGGAGGGGGCAGCAATGTGATTTAGGAAAAAATGGGCTTCAAGATGTCCCAGTTCAAGATAGGCATTGAGACCACCAAGCTGGAAACTGACCGGGCTCAAAGATTTGGGGAAATTAAGCTAAAAAGGGACTCCTTTGGCTAGATATGGTTATTTCCCGAACATACTCGGCCTGGTGATAGATTTACTTATTTATTTATTATTTTTATTACTGAGATTTATTACTGACCTTTATTGTTTCCCTAAATAGCTCAAGGCAATGAACATACCGAAGACTCCTTCGTCCCTACAACAACAAGCTTGTGAGGTAGGCTAAGACTGAGAGAGGGAGACTGGCTCAAGGTCACCCAGCAGACTGTCGTGCCTTGGATGGCCCTGGTCAGTACTTGGAGCGGAGGCTTCTTTCCTAATTCACCTCCTACGGTCACCAGAAGCAACCTAGTAGGGCCAGCGATGGCCAAACTGATCGATTGCTGATGCCGACTCCTTTGCACTCTTTTGAGATGTGATTTGACTTGAACAGGAGTCAGAATCAAATGGGAACTTGGGACAGTTAGAAGGGAGGTCATGATCGATGCATTATGTCCATGTTTCCCAAAAAGGGCCACTTTAAGGCCAGTTAGCAAAATGGCCCCTGAACGGAGGAAGGATGTGACTGTGTCTCTCCATTTCTTCAGACAGGTCAGCAACAGGGAAGAAAAGGCCCTACAGTGAATATCCCTGGGCTATCTCTCAGTGGCCAGTGATGGTTAAGCAGTCAAGAGATGCCTTTGACCTTCAGACCCAGGAATTCAAGAGACAAACGATGGATGAAAGAGCAGCACAGTTGCCTCAAGAAGACGGTCGATCAACTAAAGAGCACAACAAAAAAGTGGCAGAAAACTGCTGGACAAAAGAGAAAGGTTGGAGCGTGCCACCACCATGATCCCTCAGCGAGGACTAAAGATCAAATATTTGGTGAAACACACTGAAGAACTGCACAAAGAACGCTGCAGGTCAGCAGCCAAGCGGCCTTTCTCAAATATGAGAAGGCTGCCTTAGAACCTTTGAGAAGAGGTCTCGAAGAAGTCTGGAACCTTCTTAAGAACTTAAGAAGCACCTCTAAAGTCTGCAGCATGAATAGGTTGAGACGGACCAAAGTTACTATGCGGAGAAAAGCCACTCCAGCCAACTGATGCAGAAAGTCAGTCCTCTTCAGCAGAATGTGAGGGAAAATAAGAAGAAGCAAGTCAACAATCTACAGCAGCAACAGCAGCCGCCGCAGAGCTATGCTTCCCAGGCCACAGTTGGAGACCTGTGGAAAGCTGAGGAGGACAACGGAGAAGGACTGAACCATGTCAAAATGACGATGCAAGAATTACAGCTGCAGACGAGGTGTTTCGAGAAAGACAGTGAAGATCTCCACAGGGAGGTCCCCAGCCAATTGACCTTCTTCAGAAATGGTTTTTGTACTCCTAAGCGACCAGCACATGGGACAACTCGCTGACCCTCTCTCCCCATAGCTGGAATGGAGGAACGGTGGCCTTTTACCCTTTCGAGAAAGAAAAGGAATTCTTCCCCTCCCTTCCCCTGACTTGCCACTTAATGTGCCGGGGAGCCAGGTGACCCCCCCACCAGCTGAAGCAACAGCTTCACCCTCTCCCTCCCAGTCACTGATTTTTCTGACACCCCAGCACTTCCCGGGCGAGTCCCTGATGCCATTAATGGTCATTAAGCAAGTGCAGTTTTGCCCATTGCTGTCACTTGTCGTAACTCCAAGCCGATCGCCCTGCACCCAAGTCATGAGCGTGTGACCCTGGGGTTGCTGCTACAGTCATATGTGCAAGGACCCATGATACATCACACTTTTCAGTGCCATTGGAACTTTGAACGGTCCCAAAAGGAAAGGCTATAAAACTAGGACTATTGCAGGGTACTTGTTTAGGGACTGTACAAGATTTAATCTTTTTGTTTCTTTAGCCACATTTTCATAACATCTTTTTAAGCTGAATAACATCTAATCCTTATGTGTATTTCCCTTTGACTCCATTTGACATGGATAGAAAAACCTGGATTCTCTGGATCTCTAATGCTAGATTTCAGATGCAAGGGACAACGTTTTAATTTGGACTTTACCCCCAAAACAAGGGGCAACATCTGTGGCTTCCCAGCTCTCCGGACAATGGACAGTTGTCCATTCAGGTGGAGGAGCTCTGGTGGATGAGGATTCAGGGCTCACTTGCAAAAGCCCCTGAAGAGCCGGCCAATCAGTGAATAAGCCAGGCCCTCCAGTGAAGGCAGCCAGTTGGTGATTATTTTTCAACTCTCCAGAAAGGGGCTGGGACTGGCTGGCTGGCTATCTAGAGAAAAAATGGGCTTCAAGATGTCCCAGTTCAAGATAGGCATTGAGACCACCAAGCTGGAAACTGACCGGGCTCAAAGATTTGGGGAAATTAAGCTAAAAAGGGACTCCTTTGGCTAGATATGGTTATTTCCCGAACACACTCGGCCTGGTGATAGATTTATCTATATTTATTTATTATTTTTATTACTGAGATTTATTACTGACCTTTATTGTTTCCCTAAATAGCTCAAGGCAGTGAACATACCGAAGACTCCTTCGTCCCTACAACAACAAGCTTGTGAGGTAGGCTAAGACTGAGAGAGGGAGACTGGCTCAAGGTCACCCAGCAGACTGTCGTGCCTTGGATGGCCCTGGTCAGTACTTGGAGCGGAGGCTTCTTTCCTAATTCGCCTCCTACGGTCACCAGAAGCAACCTAGTAGGGCCAGAGATGGCCAAACTGATCGATTGCTGATGCCGACTCCTTTGCACTCTTTTGAGAGGTGATTTGTCTTGAAAAGGAGTCAGAATCAAATGGGAACTTGGGACAGTTAGAAGGGAGATCATGATCGATGCATTATGTCCATGTTTCCCAAAATGGGCCACTTTAAGGCCGGTTAGCAAAATGGCCCCTGAACGGAGGGAGGATGTGACTGTGTCTCTCCATTTCTTCAGACAGGTCAGCAACAGGGAAGAAAAGGCCCTACAGTGAATATCCCTGGGCTATCTCTCAGTGGCCAGTGATGGTTAAGCAGTCAAGAGATGCCTTTGACCTTCAGACCCAGGAATTCAAGAGACAAACGACAGATGAAAGAGCACCACACTTGCCTCAAGAAGATGGTCGATCAACTAAAGAGCACAACAAAAAAGTGGCAGAAAACTGCTGGACAAAAGAGAAAGGTTGGAGCGTGCCACCACCACGATCCCTCAGCGAGGGCTAAAGATCAAATATTTGGTGAAACACACTGAAGAACTGCACAAAGAACGCTGCAGGTCAGCAGCCAAGCGGCCTTTCTCAAATATGAGAAGGCTGCCTTAGAACCTTTGAGAAGAGGTCTCGAGGAAGTCTGGAACCTTCTTAAGAACTGAAGAAGCACCTCTAAAGTCTGCAGCATTTACAGGTTGAGACGGACCAAAGTTACTACGTGGAGAAAAGCCACTCCAGCCAACTGATGCAGAAAGTCAGTCCTCTTCAGCAGAATTTGAGGGAAAAAAAGAAGCAAGTCAACAATCTACAGCAGCAATAGCAGCCGCCGCAGAGCTATGCTTCCCAGGCCACAGTTGGAGACCTGTGGAAAGCCGAGGAGGACAACGGAGAAGGACTGAACCATGTCAAAATGACGATGCAAGAATTACAGCTGCAGACCAGGTGTTTCGAGAAAGACAGTGAAGATCTCCACAGGGAGGTCCCCAGCCAAGTGGCCTTCTTCAGAAATGGTTTTGGCGCTCCTAAGCGACCAGCACATGGGACAACTCGCTGACCCTCTCTCCCCATAGCTGGAATGGAGGAACGGTGGCCTTTTACCCTTTCACTCCCTTCCCCTCCCTTCCCCTGACTTGCCACTTAGTGTGCCGGGGAGCCAGGCGAGCCCCCCCCCCTACCAGCTGAAGCAACACCTTCACCCTCGCCCTCCCAATCACTGCAGGGCTGTCAGCTGAGCTGAACACCTCACAGCCACCGAGCATCAGGGCCTCAGAGGGCTGGGGAATCCCAGGGCTCCGAGCCAAAAAGGAGCCTGGAGGTGAACTTGGTAGGGTGAGTCCACAGGCTCCTCTCCAAGCCTCAGAGTTCCAGCTGAGGATGAGGGCCACCAGGGACAGGGTGAGGGCTCTGCGGTGGGCAGAGCAGAAAGTCTGGCCAGAACAGGATCTGGAACCCACAACCGAGTGGCTGAATGAGCCGAGCAGCTGGCATCCCAGCAGCCCACAGGAGAGGAGCAGAGAGGAGAACAGCTAGAAGCCGAACTGGGAGCCGAGGGGTCCGCAGGAGACGCCACGAGGCAGCAGAGACCCCCGGAGGCCGCAAGGCTGACGGAGCTGGTGGCAGAGCTGGAAGACAGGGCTGGGCTGAGGGTCTCGGGGGCAGGCAGACATTCCTGCTGCTCCAGAGCCTGCAAGAGAGTGGCAACAGAAGGGAGAAGCCGGGGGTGGTCAGTGGCCTGTGGGTGGTCAAGTAGTCTTAGGGGTGGTAGAACATAAGAGATTGATTCATAGGGCTGGAAGGGACTTTGGAGGTCTTCTACTCCAACCGTCTGCTCAAGGCAGGAACTTTCTGCCATCCCAGTCAAATGGTTTGCTTGTCCATTTTTGAAAACTTCCAGTGATGGAGCACTCACAACTTCTTACTGTCTCAAAATTTCTCCTGACTTCTTGGTTGGGTCTCCCTTTCAACGTCCACCCTTGTCTTTTTTCCTGCTCTGCAGTTCTTAAGTCACTCCCTGTCCTTTGAGACAGACCCTAACAGTGTGGAAGACTGCTGTTGTGTCTGCCCGATCCTTATCATCTTCGATAGGTTACACATAGCGAACTCCCTGAACCGTTCATGAAACGATTTAGCCTCCAGCTCTTAAATCATCTTTGTTGCTCTTCTCTTCAAACTTTCTGCAGTCTCAGCAACATTTTCTATCCCACCAGTGTGATATAATGCGGTACCAGCACTTCTGGCGATCTTGAAACTGCCCCTCTTTTATTGCTGCCTAAGACTGCTTTGGCCTATGTTGACATCTGCAGCACACATCTGGCTGATCCTTAAGTGGTTTTCCTCTAGATCCGTCTCACAGTTATCCCTGCTGAGCCAGGTACCGCCCATTCTGTGCCTGTGCAATTGATTTTCCTGCCTAAGGAAGAACTGTACTTTTCTCACCAATGAACTGCATCCTGTTCAGGTCTGTCAAGATCCTCTTAGATGTTGAGCCTATCTTCCAACAATCTTGATGTCCTCTGCACATTTGATGAGTTCCCCTTCTATCCCCTCATCTAGATCATTGATGAAGATGTGGAAGAGATCTAGGCCGAAGGCAGATCCCTGAGGTACCCCACTGAATGCTTCCCTTCTTGTAGATGTAGCGGTAGCTCCATTAAGGAATAAACACTGGGTGCGGCTGGTCAGCCCCCTGAGGACCCATCTGAAGGTGATACTGGTGGATGTCCATTTCTAGGTGCTCGAAATCCTCCACTTGATTCTCTATTCCAGGATTTTCCCAGGAATTGATGTCAAGCTCTTTTTCCAGTTCTCTGAGAGCTCCCCTGGGCTGCAGGAGCATTCAGAAATGACGTTTGGTGACACCAAAATTAGGTCGGCCAGCTCCTTTGGAAGCCTGGGAGGGTCGGCGTGATTTCTACCCATCCAGAGTGGATTGGTCCTCTTTGACTAATTTCGTGCCTATTTGGAATCGTATATAGATTCTATCTCTCTCGATGTTGCTGTTGATAGGCTGTTTTTTTTTCTTTTGCTGAAAAAGAGATGGAAAGGAGTTAAGCATTTCTGAATTCACCCTGCTGCCTGTCTCCTTCCTGCCTTCTGCTCCCATTAGTGGACCTATTGACTTTCTTGACTTTCTTCTTGTTCCTTACATAAAATTTTCCTTTATTATTTTTGGTCTTTGTTGCCAGTCTTTGCCCATTCCAGGCCTTTGCTATTCCGAGTCGGTCCTTGCAAATTCAGTCTACTCGCTGGTATTCTGCTTTACTTATGTGCCCCTCTTTCCATTTTTTTTCTACCTGACCATATTGTACTTCTCAGAGGGCTCTTTGAGCAACCATTCTGGTATCTCATGATATCTTTAATTTTTCTGTGTCTTATTGTTTTTGCTCGGTCCTTCATCGTTTCATTTTCCAGGGTTTTCTTTTAATCAAAATGGACATATATAATACGTTACAGGTGTAGAGTTTAGCTATCTATTAGGGCTTGTTAAGGCACTTGAGCTATGTTTTAACCAAACAAGCTTTTTAAAAAGTGGAAACATATAATAAAGGAGAGAAATATCGGCATATATAGGGGGGTTTAGGATTTTTTTTTCATTTCATACCTTAGATATTATATATGCAGTAGACATATATAATGCATTACAAAAATAGTATAGTTATTGAAGATTTGTTTTAGTCTTTTTTTTAAAGTGGACATATGCATTGAAAATACAGTGTAGGAATATATTAGGGCATTTTTAGTATCTCAAGGTTTGTTCTAAATAAATGTATTTCTCAAATTGTGAACATATAGGGTGCAGGAGAAAAGTGGGGTATTAGGGCTTTTTGAGTTACTGGAGGTGTGTTGTAACAGAATGTTTTTTTAACGTTGGCATATATAATGCAGGCGAGCAATAGAGTACTTACAGCTGGATGTTAGGTCGTCCTTCTCTTGCTCCCCCCGAGAGGCTCTGGAGCAGCAGGAGCTTCTGCCTGCCCCCGAGACCCTCTACCCAGCCCCGTCCCCCAGTTCCGCCACCCGCTCCCTCCGCCTTGCTGCCTCGGCGCTCTCTGCTCCCCCGAGGCCTCTCCTGGGGACCCCTCGGCTCCCGGCCCAGCTCCTGGCTCCTCTCCTCTCTTCTCCTCTCCTGCCGGCTGTGGGCTCCCGACTGCTCGGCCCATGCGGCTGCTCGGTTCCAGTTCCAAGGTCCAGCGGTGGCCAGACTAGCCTGGCACACTAGGTAGCAAGTCCCCCACCCCCTCCCGCTCTGCCCCAGTCCCCCATCCTCTCCTGGATATGTAGTGAAACCTGATTGTGCGGCTGCCATCCTGATTTTTCTGCCACCCCAGCACTTCCTGGGCGAGTCCCTGCTGCCATTAATGGTCATTAAGCAAGTGCCATTTTGCCCATTGCTGTCACTTGCCGTAACTCCAAGCCGATCGCCCTGCACCCAAGTCATGAGCGTGCAACCCTGGAGATGCTGCTACAGTCATATGTGCGAGGACCCGTGATACATCACACTTTTCAGTGCCATTGGAAGTGTAGGCACAGCGAGGATCTCCCTCGTTTGGATGTGTCAGAAGAAAGAGACAGTTCCCATTGAGGCAGAATTAGGGGGCGAGACTAGAAATGTGGGGCTCAATCCCGGATCACAGCGGTGCTGATACCTGCCGTGTTAGCAGCCTCCGTTCCTGTGGACAAACTGCCAATCCACCATCTCAAAGGTACATGTCTCCAGAAAGGGGCTGGGACTGGCTGGCTGGGGGGAGGGGCCAGCAATGTGATCTAGAGAAAAATGGGTTTCAAGATGTCCCAGTTCAAGATAGGCATTGAGACCACAAAGCTGGAAACTGACCGGGCTCAAAGATTTGGGGAAATTAAGCTAAAAAGGGACTCCTTTGGCTAGATATGGTTATATCTCGAACACACTCGGCCTGGTGATAGATTTACTTATTTTTTATTATTTTTATTACTGAGATTTATTACTGACCTTTATTGTTTCCCTAAATAGCTCAAGGCAGTGAACGTACCGAAGACTCCTTCGTCCCTACAACAACAAGCTTGTGAGGTAGGCTAAGACTGAGAGAGGGAGACTGGCTCAAGGTCACGCAGCAGACTGTCGTGCCTTGGATGGCCCTGGTCAGTACTTGGAGCGGAGGCTTCTTTCCTAATTCGCTTCTTACGGTCACCAGAAGCAACCTAGTAGGGCCAGAGATGGCCAAACTGATCGATTGCTGATGCCGACTCCTTTGCACTCTTTTGAGAGGTGATTTGTCTTGAAAAGGAGTCAGAATCAAATGGGAACTTGGGACAGTTAGAAGGGAGGTCATGATCAATGCATTATGTCCATGTTTCCCAAAATGGGCCACTTTAAGGCCGGTTAGCAAAATGGCCCCTGAACGGAGGAAGGATGTGACTGTGTCTCTCCATTTCTTCAGACAGGTCAGCAACAGGGAGGAAACGGCCCTAAAGTGAATATCCCTGGGCTATCTCTCAACGGCCAGTGATGGTCTCCATCTCCAGGTTAAGCAGCCGAGAGATGCCTTTGACCTTCAGACCCAGGAATTCAAGAGACAAACAATGGATGAAAGAGCAGCACAGTTGCCTCAAGAAGACGGTCGATCAACTAAAGAGCACAACAAAAAAGTGGCAGAAAACTGCTGGACAAAAGAGAAAGGTTGGAGCGTGCCACCACCATGATCCCTCAGCGAGGGCTAAAGATCAAATATTTGGTGAAACACACTGAAGAACTGCACAAAGAACGCTGCAGGTCAGCAGCCAAGCGGCCTTTCTCAAATATGAGAAGGCTGCCTTAGAACCTTTGAGAAGCGGTCTCGAAGAAGTCTGGAACCTTCTTAAGAACTGAAGAAGCACCTCTAAAGTCTGCAGCATGAACAGGTTGAGACGGACCAAAGTTACTACGTGGAGAAAAGCCACTCCAGCCAACTGATGCCGAAAGTCAGTCCTCTTCAGCAGAATGTGAGGGGAAAAAAGAAGCAAGTCAACAATCTACAGCAGCAACAGCAGCCGCCGCAGAGCTATGCTTCCCAGGCCACTGTTGGAGACCTGTGGAAAGCCGAGGAGGACAACGGAGAAGGACTGAACCATGTCAAAATGACGATGCAAGAATTACAGCTGCAGACGAGGTGTTTCGAGAAAGACAGTGAAGATCTCCACAGGGAGGTCCCCAGCCAAGTGGCCTTCTTCAGAAATGGTTTTGGCGCTCCTAAGCGACCAGCACATGGGACAACTCGCTGACCCTCTCTCCCCATAGCTGGAATGGAGGAACGGTGGCCTTTTACCCTTTCGAGAAAGAAAAGGAATCCCTTCCCCTCCCTTCCCCTGACTTGCCACTTAGTGTGCCGGGGAGCCAGGCGAGCCCCCCCCCTACCAGCTGAAGCAACACCTTCACCCTCGCCCTCCCAATCACTGCAGGGCTGTCAGCTGAGCTGAACACCTCACAGCCACCGAGCATCAGGGCCTCCGAGGGCTGGGGAATCCCAGGGCTCCGAGCCAAAAAGGAGCCTGGAGGTGAACTTGGTAGGGTGAGTCCACAGGCTCCTCTCCAAGCCTCAGAGTTCCAGCTGAGGATGAGGGCCACCAGGGACAGGGTGAGGGCTCTGCGGTGGGCAGAGCAGAAAGTCTGGCCAGAACAGGATCTGGAACCCAGAACCGAGTGGCTGAATGAGCCGAGCAGCTGGCATCCCAGCAGCCCACAGGAGAGGAGCAGAGAGGAGAACAGCTAGAAGCCGAACTGGGAGCCGAGGGGTCCGCAGGAGACGCCACGAGGCAGCAGAGACCCCCGGAGGCCGCAAGGCTGACGGAGCTGGTGGCAGAGCTGGAAGACAGGGCTGGGCTGAGGGTCTCGGGGGCAGGCAGACATTCCTGCTGCTCCAGAGCCTGCAAGAGAGTGGCAACAGAAGGGAGAAGCCGGGGGTGGTCAGTGGCCTGTGGGTGGTCAAGTAGTCTTAGGGGTGGTAGAACATAAGAGATTGATTCATAGGGCTGGAAGGGACTTTGGAGGTCTTCTACTCCAACCGTCTGCTCAAGGCAGGAACTTTCTGCCATCCCAGTCAAATGGTTTGCTTCTCCATTTTTGAAAACTTCCAGTGATGGAGCACTCACAACTTCTTACTGTCTCAAAATTTCTCCTGACTTCTTGGTTGGGTCTCCCTTTCAACGTCCACCCTTGTCTTTTTTCCTGCTCTGCAGTTCTTAAGTCACTCCCTGTCCTTTGAGACAGACCCTAACAGTGTGGAAGACTGCTGTTGTGTCTGCCCGATCCTTATCCTCTTTGATAGGCTACACATAGCGAACTCCCTGAACCGTTCATGAAACGATTTAGCCTCCAGCTCTTAAATCATCTTTGTTGCTCTTCTCTTCAAACTTTCTGCAGTCTCAGCAACATTTTCTATCCCACCAGTGTGATATAATGCGGTACCAGCACTTCTGGCGATCTTGAAACTGCCCCTCTTTTATTGCTGCCTAAGACTGCATTGGCCTATGTTGACATCTGCAGCACACATCTGGCTGATCCTTAAGTGGTTTTCCTCTAGATCCATCTCACAGTTATCCCTGCTGAGCCAGGTACCGCCCATTCTGTGCCTGTGCAATTGATTTTCCTGCCTAAGGAAGAACTGTACTTTTCTCACCAATGAACTGCATCTTGTTAGATGGGCCCAATGTTCACGTCTGTCAAGATCCTCCTGGATATTGAGCCTATCTTCCAACAATCTTGATGTCCTCTGCACATTTGATGAGTTCCCCTTCTATCCCCTCATCTAGATCATTGATGAAGATGTGGAAGAGTCCTAGGCCGAAGGCAGATCCCTGAGCTACCCCACTGAATGCTTCGCTCCATGTAGATGTACCGGTAGCTCCATTAAGGAATAAACACTGGGTGCGGCTGGTCAGCCCCCTGAGGACCCACAACTTGATTCTCTATTCCAGGATTTTCCCAGGAATTGATGTCAAGCTCTTTTTCCAGTTCTCTGAGAGCTCCCCTGGGCTGCAGGAGCATTCAGAAATGACGTTTGGTGACCCCAAAATTAGGTCTGCCAGCTCCTTTGGAAGCCTGGGAGGGTTGGTGTCATTTCTACCCATCCAGAGTGGATTGGTCCTCTTTGACTAATTTCGTGCCTATTTGGAATCGTATATAGATTCTATCTCTCTCGATGTTGCTGTTGATAGGCTGTTTTTTTTTCTTTTGCTGAAAAAGAGATGGAAAGGAGTTAAGCATTTCTGAATTCACCCTGCTGCCTGTCTCCTTCCTGCCTTCTGCTCCCATTAGTGGACCTATTGACTTTCTTGACTTTCTTCTTGTTCCTTACATAAAATTTTCCTTTATTATTTTTGGCCTTTGTTGCCAGTCTTTGCCCATTCCAGGCCTTTGCTATTCCGAGTCCGTCCTTGCAAATTCAGTCTACTCGCTGGTATTCTGCTTTACTTATGTGCCCCTCTTTCCATTTTTTTTCTACCTGACCATATTGTCCCTCTTCTTCTCAGAGGGCTCTTTGAGCAACCATGCTGGTATTGCATGATATCTTTAATTTTTCCGTGTCGTATTGTTTTTGCTCGGTCCTTCATCGTTTCATTTTCCCAGGTTTCTTTTAATCAAAATGGACATATATAATACATTACAGGTGTAGAGTTTAGCTATCTATTAGGGCTTGTTAAGGCACTTGAGCTATGTTTTAACCAAACAAGCTTTTTAAAAAGTGGAGACATATAATTAAGGAGAGAAATATCGGCATATATAGGGGGGTTTAGGATTGTTTTTTCATTTCATACTTTAGATATGATACATGCAGTAGACATATATAATGCATTACAAACATAGTATAGTTATTGAAGATTTGTTTTAGTCTTTTTTTTAAAGTGGACATATGCATTGAAAATACAGTGTAGGAATATATTAGGGCATTTTTAGTATCTCGAGGTTTGTTCTAAATAAATGTATTTCTCAAACTGTGAACATATAGGGTGCAGGAGAAAAGTGGGGTATTGGGGCTTTTTGAGTTACTGGAGGTGTGTTGTAACAGAATGTTTTTTTAACGTTGGCATATATAATGCAGGCGAGCAATAGAGTACTTACAGCTGGATGTTAGGTCGTCCTTCTCTTGCTCCCCCCGAGAGGCTCTGGAGCAGCAGGAGCTTCTGCCTGCCCCCGAGACCCTCTACCCAGCCCCGTCCCCCAGTTCCGCCACCCGCTCCCTCCGCCTTGCTGCCTCGGCGCTCTCTGCTCCCCCGAGGCCTCTCCTGGGGACCCCTCGGCTCCCGGCCCAGCTCCTGGCTCCTCTCCTCTCTTCTCCTCTCCTGCGGGCTGTGGGCTCCCGACTGCTCGGCCCATGCGGCTGCTCGGTTCCGGTTCCCAGGTCCAGCGGTGGCCAGACTAGCCTGGCACACTAGGTAGCAAGTCCCCCACCCCCTCCCTCTCTGCCCCCGTCCCCCATCCTCTCCTGGATATGTAGTGAAACCTGATTGTGCGGCTGCCATCCTGATTTTGCTGACACCCCAGCACTTCCTGGGCGAGTCCCTGCTGCCATTAATGGTCATTAAGCAAGTGCAGTTTTGCCCATTGCTGTCACTTGCCGTAACTCCAAGCGGATCGCCCTGCACCCAAGTCATGAGCGTGCAACCCTGGAGATGCTGCTACAGTCATATGTGCGAGGACCCGTGATACATCACACTTTTCAGTGCCATTGGAAGTGTAGGCACAGCGAGGATCTCCCTCGTTTGGATGTGTCAGAAGAAAGAGACAGTTCCCATTAAGGCAGAATTAGGGGGCGAGACTAGAAATGTGGGGCTCAATCCCGGATCACAGCGGTGCTGATACCTGCCGTGTTAGCAGCCTCCGTTCCTGTGGACAAACTGCCAATCCACCATCTCAAAGGTACATGTCTCCAGAAAGGGGCTGGGACTGGCTGTCTGGCTATCTAGAGAAAAAATGGGCTTCAAGATGTCCCAGTTCAAGATAGGCATTGAGACCACCAAGCTGGAAACTGACCGGGCTCAAAGATTTGGGGAAATTAAGCTAAAAAGGGACTCCTTTGGCTAGATATGGTTATTTCACCTACAGACTCGGCCTGGTGATAGATTTACTTATTTATTTATTATTTTTATTACTGAGATTTATTACTGACCTTTATTGTTTCCCTAAATAGCTCAAGGCAGTGAACATACCGAAGACTCCTTCGTCCCTACAACAACAAGCTTGTGAGGTAGGCTAAGACTGAGAGAGGGAGACTGGCTCAAGGTCACCCAGCAGACTGTCGTGCCTTGGATGGCCCTGGTCAGTACTTGGAGCGGAGGCTTCTTTCCTAATTCGCTTCTTACGGTCACCAGAAGCAACCTAGTAGGGCCAGAGATGGCCAAACTGATCGATTGCTGATGCCGACTCCTTTGCACTCTTTTGAGAGGTGATTTGTCTTGAAAAGGAGTCAGAATCAAATGGGAACTTGGGACAGTTAGAAGGGAGGTCATGATCGATGCATTATGTCCATGTTTCCCAAAATGGGCCACTTTAAGGCCAGTTAGCAAAATGGCCCCTGAACGGAGGGAGGATGTGACTGTGTCTCTCCATTTCTTCAGACAGGTCAGCAACAGGGAAGAAACGGCCCTAAAGTGAATATCCCTGGGCTATCTCTCTGTGGCCAGTGATGGTTAAGCAGTCAAGAGATGCCTTTGACCTTCAGACCCAGGAATTCAAGAGACAAACAATGGATGAAAGAGCAGCACACTTGCCTCAAGAAGATGGTCGATCAACTAAAGAGCACAACAAAAAAGTGGCAGAAAACTGCTGGACAAAAGAGAAAGGTTGGAGCGTGCCACCACCATGATCCCTCAGCGAGGGCTAAAGATCAAATATTTGGTGAAACACACTGAAGAACTGCACAAAGAACGCTGCAGGTCAGCAGCCAAGCGGCCTTTCTCAAATATGAGAAGGCTGCCTTAGAACCTTTGAGAAGAGGTCTCGAAGAAGTCTGGAATCTTCTTAAGAACTTAAGAAGCACCTCTATAGTCTGCAGCATGAACAGGTTGAGACGGGCCAAAGTTACTATGTGGAGAAAAGCCACTCCAGCCAACTGATGCAGAAAGTCAGTCCTCTTCAGCAGAATTTGAGGGAAAAAAAGAAGCAAGTCAACAATCTACAGCAGCAACAGCAGCCGCCGCAGAGCTATGCTTCCCAGGCCACTGTTGGAGACCTGTGGAAAGCCGAGGAGGACAACGGAGAAGGACTGAACCATGTCAAAATGACGATGCAAGAATTACAGCTGCAGACCAGGTGTTTCGAGAAAGACAGTGAAGATC